GGTCGTCGGTCGCTTTGTAGGTGCGCATGATGTACTGCCACGCTTGGTAGCCAGCATCCACTCAAAGTCTACACGACTTCAATGCGACTTGCACCAGAGGCGACCAACACCTCGAAATGACCATAAAGGTCAGAAGATGAGCAGCGTAAAATTCTGCCCAGAGTTCAGAGTCGTCTTCGTCCGGCGTCCCCACATTGCCGTTGACGAACTTCTTCAATCCGGCGATCTCCAGCTGAGGCTCAATGGATTCTATCCATGTGATCAAATCGTGTCGACCTTCGAGCAGCTTAGGCACAGCGATCTTGTCCGGCGAAAATTTAAAATAGCCATACGCCGGCGCGATGCCTCCGTCTCGACCAGCCGACGCATGAATTGCCGAAGTCGGCCCGACTCCAATTTTTCCTTAAACCAATCAGCAAGAAATTTTACTCCGCAGAGGAGATTGACGTCGACCATCGATGTTGCCGTTCGAGCTACCTCCAGTCGCAGACGATCCGCGAACCCTCGTGCTTCCACCGCCGACAACGTTGCCGACATCACCTTCGTTGTGCACGGGTCGGGGAGAGGCGGACGCGTCGTCCGCTTCTGCACGGGGAGGGGGATGCTCACGCGCCCACTGCGCACGAGTTCCAAGGATCAGAATCTCCAAGTCCGCCTCGCCGTACCCGCCAACCTCGTGGCGTGCCCGAACACCAGCCTCTCTCGCCTGCAGGGTATCTTCTATGCCTGCTTCGACTACAGGGTCGACCATGGCGACTAAGACGGCTGCCGGCCTACAACAACTTAGGTAATGAACGCAGAAGTCGTCTATCTGAAGGTTCTAACGCGGGGCCTTCCACGCTCACCGCACCATGCAGGGATAGCATTCCAGTCCGCTAACCAACTGGGATAAAAGGGCATGTTTCCTTGGTGGGTCAGCACACCCATACCCCCCCAGGACGACACCTGTAGCCCTTGGGGAGACCACTTTGGGCCATTCCAGTGTCCACTTCCAACATGGTGACGTTCGGACGAAGGAGGCCGCATGTCGTCCCACCGGCTTTTAACCTGCTCCCCACGTTGTTCTTCAACCCCTGCTTAGCTGTCGGGCCGTTTCCGCGGAGATTCACTCTACAACGGTGGGAGCTAGACCACGGGGCCGGCACGAGTTGTGAGTGTGATCGTAGCTTTGCCAGCGTTCTCTAGCACTTGCACATTCACAGGAAGAATTGACAAGAGTTCCACTAGCGAAGTTGGAATTACAGAATGATTGCAATAGCAATGGCAAGAATGACTGCATCAGAAGCATGCAACCTAGCAGGCAAGCTGGTCGACCGCCAGCGCAGCAAGGTCGACATCTGGCAGCGTTGCGTAGAGGCACCGCGCCAGCGTTGCAGAAGGGCGACCTGCCAGCAGAGCAAGTTGGCGCTGCACCAAGGCGGCTTGCCAACGCTGCAACCGCAAGTGACAGTAGCGTAGGTGCGCATAACCGTGGGCTCATGGGTCTGTCCTCGAAAACGGGTTCCTTACGGGGAAACCACTATCGTCCAGCGTGAACAGATGCAAACAGCTGCCAGGCATGCAGTGCCGTGCGAGTGTTTTCCGTGGTGTATGGGCTCGAATTGCCCTCGCCGCCACGGCCCCACTTCTTCTAAGTGTGATTTAGCCACGCCGTTTTTTTTGCAGCCCGTAAGTGTCGACAGGTATGAAGTCTCGTCTGTCCATATGCACTCCTGTCGAAATCGTCGGTGACTCGCCCGCCAATGCAGTAAAAGCCGCTGCACTTAACAGGTCGGGTGGGACAGCGGTTAACTACCGCATAAATCGGGCGGTTCGCTTGTCGTCTCTCCTCGCCGCCGATATTTTCTGTCGCAGTTACTTTAGCGCCTGGCGAGTTCGTCCAGCTTTTCTCAGTTGACGCGCGCAAGTTGACGAAGTACCACCGACACCAACTGCCGCACTGGACGATGACTCCAAAATTTCCGCACAGATGCTGACGCAGGTCCGACGACGCCAGCTGCCACACAAAAAACTTTCGAAATCGTCGGAACGGAACACAGCGCAAAATAAACTTTTGTCGTAATGTTGTGACCGTCATATCTGTCCGTTTTTCAAAGGGAGGGAGGGCATTGTCGATCACGACCGTCGAAGGCAAAGGTCCGTCGGTAATCAGGAGTGCGCGATAAATTCATGGTCGCGAGTGTTACGATATGGAATTGTTGAATAAACATTCCTGAGTAACGACCCCTTAACGCGAAGATGACTGCAGCGAGGACGAAGACCGAGCGACAAGACAGTTATCGAAGACAGTTACAAGCAGGAAGAATTCGAAGTGCAAAGCGCGGGGAATCTTCAAACGGTTACCGGACCGCGTACGGTTACCGAACCGTACGGTTTCAATCGTGCATCTAGATTAGCCCTAAGGGGAATGTACCCCCTTAGAGTACATGGCTAGCTAGGACCTTTCGTATTCCACTGTATTCCTATATAAACCCTTGTACCGCATTGTGTTATTCACTTATGTCGAGATCTAAATCTCCTTCTACTGACAGAGTCCGTACCTGACATTACCAAGCAATCTTCCGCTGCTACACTCCGTGCGATCAACCTGAGACGATCCTATAAGACGGTTCAGATTGTATCAGCGGGGACGAAGTAACACGTTCTCCTGGCCGGCCGCTGTGCAACTCCTGGACTTCAGGAGCCCCGAGGGGTAATACACCCTAAAAAGTGCGGTAGCCTAGGAAATCAACTCTGATACCAGGTGTTATAAATGAACCTACAGAGTGCGCAAAGTAATCGAATATCGATAATGTGATTAAGAGAGTGTGACGATACAATGAAAGTGACGGGATTTAATAGGAAGAATCGTAGCTAGGCGGGGACGTTGGGAGAAAATGGCTCGGAATGGTGGCGATTGGTGCGGGGGCGACTCGAGAGTGGTTTGGGGCGGAGTTGTAGGCCGGACCGAACTAACGCGTGGCCCTCCCTGGATGTGCTCGCTAAAATGCGAGTGTAGTAACTCGTTATTCGTTACACCATCCCTTGAAACCACTTTTCACCACACAACCCTGGCCCGCTGATCTTTTATCCTTGATATTGCCGGAAAGTGATTAGGGAAGAACCGTTGGTCCTTTTCGACATGAGGGGAGGGATGTGCACCTCATGTTCGAGGAACAGTTTCTCAAATCCGTCCCGTACTGTACAGTACCATAATTCACCCACCTCCCAAAAATCTTATCTCGCCACGCCATCGTCAGGTTTTCCATTCCGAAAGAAACATCAGAAGGGCGTGTGGTAAGTTTACCTTTTGACTGTCCGAAGTAAGTACGAGAACGGTATCCTGCGTTCGAGGATTCTCGCATAGCCTTCAATTGGATAACGAGCCGGGACGTTCTGAACCGTGAGCGGGATACCCTTCCCACACACGGTTCGGGCCATCCAAAAACGAAAAACGTTCGCGCCCTCAGATTGTATTCCCCCATCTCGATTTGTTCATCCCGTGTGCTCCCCCTGATATTCCGCTTGCGCCTGGACTTCAGACGTGGGGTCAAGTTTGGTGGACCCCGAGTTGACATGTCAGCACTAGCAAGCAGCGAGGCTATTCAAAATGGATTCCTCGACTCGCTCCCCCCTGTATTCCGTTGGATGGATGGAACCCTAGCATCGCCTAACATCGTTTAGAGCACGCGTTGGAACCCTAAACGTCGCCTTAGATCTCCTAAAGTAGGCCGTAGCGTCGCGGGTTTCTGTTAACTCAGTCGTTTGCGTATCATCGCCATGTCGGTCAACGGTAGCAGCTTCGACGTTGTTAATATTCCATCGTAATTTGTGACTTCTTATTATTATTTTAGATATTATTTCATTATTCTGTCGATACTTTCAAGAAGACCAGAAATGGGGTCAGCACCTCCAGACCTATTAGTACAGCACGCGTTGGGAGCACTAAGCAGCCTACAGGGATTCCCAGGAGGGTCATTATCCCCTCCTCGGCTGCTGTCGCCTCAATTCTCTGGTTCTCTTCACCGGAATTTTGTGCTGGAAAATGAGGAAATAGGTCGGGGTCGTTTCGGCGTGGTGCGGAGGTGTAGACACAGAGCGTCCAATCGACCGTTCGTGTGCAAGTCCATAAGCAAGAGCTCGTTACAGGTGCGTCACGTGCGTTCCGCGTCGTCCTCCGCTGAGTCTCCTTCGTATGTTCTTTACGTGTCAAAGGTGTCTGTTTTCAATCTATGGCCGCCATATCATCGCGTAAGCTCCAACGGTTATTTATTTCCTCGTTTCTTTCAAGCTCGGGTATAGAATCGCGACTCTCCCGAAAGGAATCCAAGCCAACGTGCTGACATTTTTTGCTGCCGCGGCCACTTTCGAGCCGCCTCGGAAGCTGGCCTGCTTTCTGTCGCGGCTCCAATCAAACCCGCGGTTACAGTCAATCCCGAGGCTAGGTGTTTCAGGAAAACCGCGGACACTTTTAGATTCACTCCTCTGAATATTCCAGCTGATGTAAGCCGAACAGCTGCCGCAATGGCGTTTGCACCTTCGTTATTATCAACTTCGGCAGTCGCATCTATCCGAGTGAATCTTGTGTCACCTTCCGTTACAGTCACGCGTCCAGCAGGCATCAAGGCTCCGCATTTGGGAAAACTGCTTGTTTTTAACACACGAGGGGTTTCGGACCGTCGCTGCCACGTCAGCAGGCTCTGCGAATGCTGGTAGTTTCAGGAGACGTCGGCTGAAGGCACGCCGCTGCGTCGCTGCGTGGTGGCGGCTCTACTGCACGTGTCTAAACGCATCATCGACGCCGTGCACCCCCACCCTCTTTACCCGCACCCTTGTACCGTCTCATGCACCCGTCCCGTTATGGATGTGGCATGCTCGCCTACCTAGTCTACACAGCGCTCGCGTCCTCCTCGCGTGAATTCTGAGGCGCATATAATGCTGTGGGGGGCATGCCGTGCGTAGTGTGTGAGGGGAGGAGGTGGGTGCGGAGCCCCACGCTCGGCCTGCACGTACACGTGTTGATGGAGACGTCTCCATTCCCGTCCTTCCCATGTCCTTCCCGGTCCTCCACCGTTCCCCACCGCCAGTCCGCGCAGCACGTGGAGTCGCTGCGGTCGGAAGTGGACGTGCTGCTGGCAGTGCGCGGGCTGCCGTGCGTGGTGCGCGTGGAGCAGGTGGTGGAGGAGCCGCACGCCGTGCACGTGGTGATGGAGGCGTGCGGGCAGGGCGACCTGTTCGACTACATCGCGCACTTCAACGGCATGCCCGAGCCCCACGCCACCTGCCTCTTCAGGTGCGCTCCAAACGGGTTCATGCGTCTTCAGGTACGGTCCATAGCCGGAGAACGCCGTCCGTCCTTTCCCGCTCTCTCTGCTCGCCCACAAGGCTTCAATCTTGTCCTGCTCCCTGCCTCGCCATGTCTGTTCTCCTTCACAGGCAGATAGTGCTGGCAGTGGCGGGGTGTCACTGCCTTGGGATAACACACCGAGACATCAAGTGGGAAAACATCCTCCTCTCCCCTGCTTCTTCTGTTCTGTTCCCTGCTTGTCCACTTGCTTGTTTGCTCCCGTGCAGGCAGATAGTGCTGGCAGTGGCCGTCCACAGCCTTGGGGTTATCCACCAAGACATCAAAACATCCTCCTCATCCCTGCTTCTTCTCTTCTCTTCTTTGTTCGCTTGCGTGGTTGCTCCCCCCCGTGCAGGCAGATAGTGGTGGCAGTGGCGGGCTGTCACAGCCTTGGCATCATACATCGGGACATCAAGCCGGAAAACATCTTCCTCTCCCTCAACCCTGCTGCACCTGCACCTGCTCCTGCTGCTGCTCAGACAACCTCTCCCAATGCTTGCACCAACGCCAGCACTGCTGCTTCTGCTGCTGCTGCTGCTGCTGCTTCTGCTGCTGCTGTTGCTGTTCCTGCTTCTCCTGCTCCAGCCGCCCCGCCCGTTCCTCCCACCAGTCTCCTCATGAGGCTCGGCGATTTCGGCCTCGCTCTGTTCCTGCACACCCAGCCTGGCGCCGAGGCTCGGGGGAGGGTCGGCAGCTCGTACTACATGGCTCCAGAGGTGGTTCGGGGCGGCAGGTACGGGCTGCCAGCAGACGTGTGGAGCCTTGGGGTCATCCTCTACATCATGCTCTCAGGTGCGGTTTGGTGCGATTTGGTGCGATTTGGTGCGGTTTTGTGCTGTTTGGTTTGGTTTGTCTAAGGATTTGCCCTGGTGGATGTTGAGCGTCTTTGGAGCTGCCGGACCAGCTCGGCTTGGCGTGTGGTCAGATGTTGAGTCGACTGAAAGCACTGCGTGTGGTGAGAGCCTCTGGGATTCATCCTGTCTCAAGCCCTCGGACGGACCCTCCAAGTCATCGTACCCCCCCCCTCCATCCTCAATACCAACTCCCCCCACCACCACCCCCTCCCCTATCGCATGCTTCGTGCTCTTCTGGGAGGCACTTCCCTGCAGACCTTCGAAGCCATCTGCTCTTCTCCCCCCTCACTCACTCCCATCCCTCACCATCTAGTCCCTCTTCCACCCCCCTCCCTCCCCTCCCCATCTCTCCTCTCTCCCAGGCTTCGTGCCGTTCTGGGGAGGCACGTCGCTGCAGACCTTCGAGGCCATCTGCTCGGGCCGCCTCGACCTCTCCTCGCCCGCCTGCCTCGCCCTCTCGCCCGCCGCCAAGGCCCTCCTCCGCGCCATGCTCTCCCTCGACCCCGCTGCCCGCCCCACAGCCCACCAAGTCCTCTCCCACCCCTGGCTATCGGTCAACAAGACGGCTGTTGAGGCACCTCAGAAGTCAAATTTCGGCCATCCGTGGGTGTCGGAACACGTGGACTTTGAGACGCCGCAGAACCCCGTGAAGCCAGACCTGGGGAAGGGGTTGGTTGAGACTAGTGCTGGGAAGGGCGTGAGTGACATGGGCCTGGGGAAGGGCTTGGTGGATCGTGGCGGTGTGCTGGCGTTAGATGGTATGGGGACTGATTGTATGGGGGATGATGGTGTGGGGGGTGATGCTGCTGGGGTGTGGGGGTGTGAGGGTATGGGAGTGCTCGAACGGTCTATTTTAGGGTTGGAGGATCCGCGACTGGACTTGATGATTGGGGAGGAGTGTGCTGCTCAGCAGACGATACTGTGGGCGCAGCAGCAGCGACAGGAGGAGCAACGGGGAAAGGAGCTGCTATCGCAACACGCAGAGCAGCAGCAGCAACGACAACAGCAGCAGCACAAACAAGAGTACTTGGGTTTGCAGCAGCACAACCAGTATCAGCAGCAGCAGCACCATATCCTTTCAATGCAGCACCAGGAGCAAGAGCAGGGACAACACCATAATCACCTACAGCACCAACACCATCAGCACCAGCAGCAGCAACGGCAGCAGCACCACCAGCAGCACCAGCACCACCAGCACCACCAGCAGCACCAGCAGCACCAGCAACACCAGCACAACCACCACCAACTCTTCCCCATACAGCAGCAAGAGCAGGAGCAGCAGCAGCATTTGCTGCAGCGGCAGGCAATTCTACACAAGCAGCAGCTGCAGCTGCAAGCATACGCTGCTGTGGAGGCAGAAGCGCAACGGTTGCTTCTGCATCGGCAGCAGTTTTTGCGGCAGCAGTTCCTGCTCTTGCACCTGGAGCAGCAGCAGCTGCAGCAGCAGCAGCAAGAGCGGCAGGAGCAGGAGGGGCAGCGGGGGACGCAGGGGGGGCGGAGTAATCAACGGCTGAGATCTTTCAGCTCTGCTGACGTGAAGGGTGCGGGGGGAACGGATCAGGATAGCGGGCCTTCGTCGTCGGGAGAAACGGAGGAGACGGGGGAGAAGGGAGGGGTGAGTGGTTTGAGGGGAGAGAACCGAGAGGTAGGGATGAGTGATGATAGCGCTTTTGAATCCCCTAAACAAGGATTGATGGTTGGCAGGGGAGAGAATGGCAAGGCTACTCTAGCAGGTGGTTTTATGAGAGAAGTGAGAGAAGAGAGAGCAGTGAGAGCGGTGAGAGACGATATCATGGCAGGGAAGCAGGCAGACAAGGAGTCGATGTTGCTGCCGCTGTTTTCACGGGAGATGGCAAGGGGTGGGCGGGTGAGAAGCAGGACAAGTGGCAGCAGAGAGAGAGGCAGCAGAGAGAGAGGCACTGGGCGTGGAATGAAGGCTCTGTGGGAACGGGAGGAGCGGGCACCTTTAGATGCGGACATCCCAACAGTTATACCTCCACCAAATACACCTTCATCAGTTATACCTCCACCAGTTATACATCCACTAGACATACGTTCACCTACCTGGCAGATGGGCTACCAACCATTCCCGGCTCTTCCGTCGACAACATGTCCCACCAACCCTCCATCAGATATACCTCCACCAGATATACCTCCACCAGATATACCTCCACCGACTTGGCAGCAGTGGAGGTATCAGCCGTTTCAGGCTCGTCGATTCCCCGACTATCCTCCCAACCGTCCAGTACCCCTCTCAAACCCCTTGGCATGCTCTTCCTCAGCTCCCCACTCTGAAGTGGTCGATCTGAGCCTCTCCCTGTCCCTTGGGGGCTGCGCTAGCACTGCTGCTGCTGCCACTGCTGCTCCCTGGCTCTCCGTCTCTCCCACACAAATGCCACTTGGGGGTTGCTCTAGCATTGCTTTCGCTGCTGCTGCTGCTGCTACTGCTAATGATGCTGCTACTGATAATGATGCTGCTCCTGCTGCTACTGCTGCTGCTGCCACTGCTGCTGCTGTTACTGCAACAGCAGCAGGTGCTGCAGTGAACAGGGGCGTGTGGTCATGGGGCAAGGGTGGGGCGGGTCTGGTGCAAGCCTGGCCGGATTTACCCTCAGATGAGGGAGGTGCATCAGATGAGGGAGGTGCATCAGTGTGTGCAGAGAAGCTTAGTGGTGATGATGGGGAGAGTTGTGGGGACGGGCGAGAGAGGAAGAGGGCTAGGAGGGTTGCGTGGGACGCATGTGGGTTTACTGGAGAGTCAGTGCCGCCCCCTGTGTGTGTGGTTGAGGGGTGGGCGGTGGAAGAGGAGGAAAGGGAGGGGAAGATACTTAGGAAGGAGGAAGAGGAGGCTAGGGAGACGGGGGAAAGCGGGGATGGGGAGAAGCGAAAAGGCGGAGACTGGGAGAATGGGCAACGGGAGAAAGAGAACGAGATGGGTTGTCGACAAGGGAAGGAAACATTTGAAGAGCTTCTGCAGCAGGAGCAGCAACTACAGCAGAGACAACAGCAGCAGCAGCAACAGCAGCTTCAGAGGGAGCAATGCAAAGGAGAGGAGGCAGAGGAGGCACGAAAGGGAGAGATGGGACAAGCAGTGGCTTTTCACAAGCTGCAGCAGCAGCTGTTGGAATTACACCGGCTGGAACAAGCAGAGCGGGAGGGGGGACGGCAGCAGCAGCAACAGAGTCAGCAGGAGCAAATAAATTCTCACAAACTGGAGGAACAAGAGAGAGAGAAGCTGCAGCAGCAGCAGCTGCTGGAATTACACAGGCTGGAACAAGAAGAGCTGGAGGGGGAACGGCAGCAGCAGCAACGGCAGCTGGAGCAGCAGCAGAGGCAGCAGCAACAGGAAGGTGGAACTGAAAGGGCAACTGAAGGGGCAGCTGAACGGATTGCTGAAAGGGCAACTGAAGGGGCAGTTGAGGAAACCAGAGCGGACAAGAAGGGAAATATGGAAGGGACGGAGGTGTATGGAAGCAAGGAGAGCGCAAAAGAGAAGTCGTCAGACAAGCAACAAAGGCCAAAAAGTGTGACTGCTGCCGGTGTGACTCATTTGCGCGTGACGAAATGGCGCGTGACTAAGTGGGGCGCAGATGGGAGGAAGACTGGTGTGAGTTTGGGGCCTCAGAGCGCCGCTGATGATGAGAAAATGCCACGTGGACAGGCAGGCAGAGACCAGGTAGTGCTAAGCGCGAGTGGAAAGCCAGTGCTTAGTTCCAGAGGTGAAGCGGACCTGAAGTTGAAAGGAAAGGGCGTGCTAAGCGCAAGTGGCGATGCAGACGTAATGAAGGGAAGTTTTGGGAGTAGAATGAGAGGTCTTTTGGATGTCCGGCCAACAGGCGGCTCTTTGAACGAGGCGAGCATGGGAGGTGCGAAGAGGAGGCGGGTAGATGGGAGAGGAACAACGCCTGCTGTTGGCCTTGGATTCCACCCCCCCTCTCAATCTCCACCCCGGCTTCTCCCCCCGCGGCCCGCCGCCACTGCCTTTCCCACGACTTTTGAGTGGCCTCGGAAGAAGCCTCTATCCCGAGCTTGTCTTTTCCCGCCTCGTTCCGTCGCAACTGCCCTTCCCACAATCGCCAGCATCTGGGCAGCAGCAGCCGCGTCGGCAGTGGCAGCAGCGTCAGGAGCAGCAGCAGCGCCGGCAGAAGCAGCACCACCAGGAGGAGCAGCAGCAGTGGCAGCAGTGTTGACACAAAGAACAGTTTTCAACCCCTCCAACGCGAGAATTCGGGCAGAAGAAGCAACAGGAGCAGCAGCAGCAGCAGCGGCAGCAGCGGCAGCGGTGGCAGAAGCAGTGGTAGCGGCAGGATCAGCACAGAGCGAAATGTATTTTGAGTCGTCTCAAAGTGCAATTGCTTTCACCTCAAAAGCAGTGTCATTGGCAGATATAAATGCAGGGACAAAGGCAGGGACAATGGCAGGGACAATGGCAGGGACAAAGGCAGGGACAATGGCAGGGACAATGGCAGGGACAATGGCAGGGACAATGGCAGGGACAATGGCAGGGACAATGGCAGGGACAATGGCAGGGACAATGGCAGGGACAATGGCAGGGACAATGGCAGGGACAATGGCAGGGACAATGGCAGGGACACAGGCAGGAACTAAGGCAGCGGCACAGGCAGGGACAATGGCAGGCTTAGAGGGAGAGGCAGACGCTGAAGCACGGTTACTGTCGTTATTCTCACCCCTTGGTACTATCACAGGGCAGCAGCAGCGGGCGGGAGCGAGTAAGAGTGCGAGTTCAGTGAGTTGTGTTACCCTGTCGTCTGCTGCTACAGGCAAGCAGACAATTCTTGGCAGAAAGAGAAAACAATAGCAGGAATACCGTAGGAGCAAGCAGGGCTTGTCTTTGTTTTTTTTAATCCTGATTATCAGTGTGGAATTTTCTGTTACCGTGAAATTTCAGGCTAAGTTGCTGTGTTCACTTTTGACCATCAGGGTAATCGTTGTTTTTTGAAAATTTACCCTGGCTGACAGTCAAGGCCCTAAATTGGTTTAGGCCCACCCTGACAAATCAGGGTTCCAGGCCCCCATTTCCCTGACCCGTAGGGTAGAAATTTTCGTACCCTGATGGCAGCTGCCTAAATTTTTCCTTACACTGATACCAGGGTATTATTGTAGTTAGCCTGTTTTCAATGCAGGTTTTTTGTTGAGATAGGAAAACAGGAATGATGAATGACTACCGTATTACCCCGGATAAAAGCGCAGGTGCGCTTATAATAAAACAGTGTTTTTTGGGGGGGTGCGCTTCTAATTGAGGTGTCTGTATAAGCGCATGCGCCTATAATAAGGGAAAAATGAATTTCACTTTTAAACATACTAAACTGAAGCCCGCAATAGGGCGAATCCACCGGACCATGCAACAAGTGGGATCGTGCATGGTTTTCAGGCAAAAACAGCTGCGGTTCGGTTTCCCACCGCACAAAGTTGTCTAGAACCATCGAATGTGACAGCAGTGACGGGGATGTTGTCGTGCGGCCCAATCACAGCCGCATGCGCTGCGTGGCATCTGCATTTCTTCCGAACCCTCTCGAAGGGTGGGGAAGATTCCCTACCAGCACAGAGAATATGCTGCCACGCAGGCTCCTCTACGGGGGTAGGCGGGGGTTTCCTGCCTGACATTGACGAGGACCCCGAGTCGCTAGCCCGCAGGGGTCCCCGTCTTTGCCCATTTCTGCACCCTCCTCCTCATTTTTTTCATTCAGTTTCTAGTCTAGCCCGCCTGGCTGGCGAAGCCATGGCGGAATTCAGTGGGACGCACTTCCTTTTCAAGAAGAAACCAACTCGCGCCTGGCGACTAACCGCGGACGGGTGGTATACCCGTGAGCCACAAGCGCCTCCAGTGCCACCTACACCCCCTGCACCGCCTGCTCCGCCTGCTCCTCCTGCACCTCCTGCTCCTCCTGCTCCTCCCGCTCCTCCGAATCCTCCGAGTCCTGTTCCTGACGCGAATTCTCACCAACGGCCCGTGCTCCAGCTGTATTTGCCAGCCACTTTCAACGAGTGGCTGTCTGAACCGGACACACCCAAGGCTAAGCGAATCGTGAGAAGATTTGAACAAGAATGAATGAACTATGAAATGAAGTGAGTACAAATATGAAACCCTAATTGGTTGTACCCCCTATGGGATACCCCACTATAGCCTACACAACAGCATAAGCTATAATGTTCTGACACACCCCCATAGGCAAAGTGGGGGAGAACAAGGGGTCACAAGACCAGTCAAGCAAAGTAAAGCAAAGCAAGCTCAGGGTGGATCACAAAGTCACCACACAGTCCGAGCACAGGGTCAAGGCCACACGGCCAGTTCACATGCAAGAGTACACACATATATATAAAGCTAGACAAGCAAGAGCAGGTATATATATATGTGAGAGTACAGGCAAGGTCAAGAGGAGAGCAAGTGAGGCAAGACGGGCACAAGACCCAGCTGAGTGCAGAAGCGCTGATGATCACAAGGCGGAAGTGCCTTGGTGAAGACATCAGCAGTGTTGGCCTCAGAGGCCACGTACGCAAGCCGCAACTGACCACGTTGCTGTAGCTCACGAGCAAGGAAGTAGCGGAGAGCAATGTGCTTTGTTCTGTGCTCCAGTCGCTGCTCTCGACACAAGGCCAGCATGGCCTTGTTGTCTACGTAAAGGACTGGAGGAGAACGAGGCGGCTCTCCAAGGTCGGTCAGCAGGTAGGTGAGCCAGCGAAGCTCCTGTGCAGCCATGGCCCCGGCGTAGATCTCAGCCTCACAACACGAGCCAAGAACAGAAGACGAGCGAGTAGCCCGCCACGAAACAGAGCCGGAACCAAGGCTGAAGGTGTAACCCTGTGACGACCGCTGCGTAGCCTGGTCGTCAGCCCAAGAAGCGTCCGCGTGCCCAGTGAGGACCACTGGACTCCGCCCTCCAAGCACTAGCCCCATGCCCGACGTACTGCACAAGTAGCGCAACACCCTCTTCGCTGCAGCCATGTGCTCTGGTCTGTGTCTCCCAGGAGCAACATAGCGTGCCAGAATGCTAAGAGGGTATGCAAGGTCAGGTCGTGTGCAGGTCATCAGGTACATGAGGCAGCCAACAAGCTCTGGGTACGGGCCACTCGACTCTACGGACTCATCCGAAGGCAGAGCTGAGAGCGAGTGGCGAGTAGACAGAGGAGTGGCCTGAGGCGAGGAGTACGTGAAGCCGAAGCGCTGAAGGACCTGCTGCACCATGTGTGACTGAGTCAGGGTAATGGTGCGGCGTGCTCTGTCCCGGGTGATCTGCAAGCCAAGGTAGCTGCGCAGTTCACCTAGGTCTGTGCACGTGTGTCTCTTCTGCAGCTCGGACTTCACGTAGGCGAGTCCAGCAGTGTCAGCTGTGGCAAAGACCAAGTCGTCGACGTACACGAGGATGTAGAACGGCGGCAGAGAGGTGTCGGTGCGTAGAAACAGCGACGGGTCGGCAATAGAAGGAGCAAACCCAAGAGCCGCAAGTGTAGTCCTCAGTGTGTCGTGCCACTCACGTGGCGCCTGGCGGAGACCGTAGACTGGACGCCGGAGACTCCACTGGGTACCAGAAGGGAAAGACCCAGTGAAGCCAGGTGGGCGACGCAGCCAGATCTCCTCGTGCAGGCTGCCCTGCAAGAAAGCTGTGCTGAAGTCAAGAGAGTGCAGCTCGTAGTCACGGTGAGCAGCAACGTGCAGCAGTACCCGAAGAGTGGTCATCTTCGGGGTGGGGGAGAAGGTCTGAAAGTAGTCAACTCCCTGCCGCTGACTGAAGCCACGAGCCACGTAACGCGCCTTGAAGACAGGCGGAGAACCCGGCGACCGCTTCACCCTGAAGATCCACAGGCCACTGACGATGTTCGCCCCAGGAGGGGGGACAGCGTCAACGTAGGTGCTTGTGGACTTCCAGGAAGCCATCTCTGCATCCATAGCTGCCTGCCACTGAGAGGAGTAGGGACCCTCTATCGCCTCCGCGTAAGAGCGCGGAGTCGGGATGTCAAGTGCATCCGGGTCTCCCTCAGGGGTAAGCAGTACGGACACGAGGTGAGGTGAGGCAGCTGCCAGACACTGGAACTCCTCCTGCCTGTCCTCAAGGACGTCCGTGCCAAGGGCACACTCACCCCCGACGGACGGAGGACAGACAGACTCAGACTCAGCGACAAGACTAGCAGCGTAGTCTAAGCGACAGCGAGCAGCAAAGTCGACGAGCTCAGTAACTAGAGCAGACGCAGCAGTAGACTCGAAAGAAGGGTCAGTGACAACAGTAGCAAGGAGACGCGTGACAGTAGGACTGGCAGCACGAAGAGAGTCCGACTCCGGGTCGGCAAGAGCAGGAAGAGAGGACTCAGGAGGAGAAGGCAAAGGGGCACGCAGAGGAGCAGTGGACGGACGCAGAGACATCCGGTGCGTGCCAGGGACAGGAGGAGGACGCTGACGCGAACCGCGACCACTAGTGCGAGCAGCACGGACAGGCGACGTAGGGCGAGACGCAGGCTCACGACGCTCAGCCAGACCTCCAGTAGGACCAGTGTAGGGAGAAGGAGCAGGCAAAGGGGAGGTAGGCTGCAACTGTAGCTGGGACGAGACAGGCTGTGGACACTCTAAGGGAGGAGGAGGACCAGCAGAAGGTGGAAGACCAAGAACCTGCTGCAGGAGTGGCACGAAGTACGGTCGAGGCCGCGCGGCGACGCTAGAAGCAGCAGGGACAGCACCAGAACCCTCAGCAGGAGCACCC